TGAGTTTCTTGTTATTTTCCAATGAATGTATCTCTAAATGAATGATAATATTGGGTAGTAAACAAGTTATATTAATTATTTCTGCTAAACATGTCAACTTAATGTATTAATCAGTCTTCATTGTCTAAAATTTTTTATTGTTCAAATCGGCACAGCACGTAACTAACCTAAATCCAAGCAAAAATTGGATTCCTCTCAAACAATAGTTCGAAAGTTAAAAATGACTTCCAAAACCAACGTATTTCATTTTTGATCTGTGCTATTTGCAACACAATTTCATATTCAAACCTTTCTTGTCTAGAGAGGAAGTTTAAGTTTATCTTCAGTGGCGAGACAAGATCAAAACGTTTTAGTCTGATACTTTACCACACGTCCTTTACAGTTATTTATTTTCTTTGATTTGCGATATGATATCTGCTATGACATCACACTTTCCTGCGTTAATGAACTCGTGGGTTTATGAGACGTAAGATTCGATATTGTATTGTACACTAGAGGCATCGTTTATTTGTATAAAACAAATCAGGGAAGGTGCATTTACAGACTTTGTCCTTGGTAAGTTCTGAAGTTTTTATCCTCGTTCATAAGTGAGTTTTCCTTAAAATAAATCAAACAGCAACAACTCGAGAACAGCTTTCGACAGTAAAGGGTTTTATTTTGAAGTGTTTCGACTACTTTCCGCTTCCAAAAGCGTACGTCGGCACGAGCGTAATTAGCTCATGCGATTTTCTGAAAATGGACAAAAATTGTTCTGAATTCAGTCATAAGTAAGCCGGTAGCGATGTTCATTTTCAAGTTCATTCCACTAAGCTACCTTTTCAAGCACCTGTAAAACAAATAATATTGTTTTTTCTACTCAAAAGGGATTCGACAATATTCTGATTGCAATTTTTTTCGGAAAGCCATCTCAAAATATTTCATGTGTCTCGATATGTATCAAGCGTTTTTCGTTCTTTTTTCAAGTAATGTACTCTTTATAACACTGCATTATTTAATTTTTATTTTATCACCTTTTGAGGTATTTCATCTTTGATCTTTAAATTCAGAATCTTCGACAAAAATAGTTCTCTATTTTCCATCGTATTGAAGTCTATTTTGTTTAAAAAAGGGGCTACATCCGTGCGTAATCTTTTTTAAAGCAAGTTCTAAAAAACTCTTTAAATTTACCGGCCACAGGATATGATCTTTTATCTCATCATTAGCATTTTCCATCTTTCCTTAGGAAGAAAACAGGAAGTTGGAATAAATATTAGACCAGACTAGCTCAAATTTCTTAAAAAATTATCACTGTTGAAAAACCGGATATGCCTCGAATAGCGTCATTAGTTCTTGAACTCTGCGACTTATTTTCTTATATTTAAAAATCTTACTTTGTTTTTAGAAAAAGCAGGCCGCATTGACTTCCATAATGCCGTTTTCTTTTAATGACAGTTCGATACCTGATTTGAGGAAAAAAAAATGCAATCACAGGACACTTACGTCAGTTTATGAACAACAAAAAAAAAACGAGAACGAACCTATTAAATGAGAGGAAAGCTTTCGGTGATACTGAAGAGTCAATTTGAAAAATGCAGTATTGTCAGATCTGGGTAATTTATCATACAATGGTATAACGGGTAATGGCTTTGAGATTTTTCTCAACAGTTAATTTATAGTAATCTGAACGTTGTTTTTTCAGCTTATTTCTCGGCGTGTGACGCTTACCCATAAGTTCACTTTCTTTCCGATAAACGACAATTGATAAACGACAAAAATGACCATTTTGACGAAGCTTGTTCTCTTAATCGAAAGTGTAACTTACTTTCCATGAACACAACAACATTCATTTATGTCTCAACCTTACGACTCTTCACCTGTATTTTTTTTTGTTTTTTTCTTTTTTACTTTGTTCTAAGGATCTGTCGTCATTGTAGTATATACCCTGAACATCATCACTGTCAAGCTGTATAGAGCCCATTTCTTTTCTAAACCATCAAAAACTTGAAACATGAATGATCTTAATCGATGGTTAAGTGATTATCAGATAAATTGGCATGTGTCTTAATACGCTCGTGATCTGAATACAAATAAGTTCACTACTACTACTGCAAGATCACTTAAGCGACGATTGCATAAGAGCTGTCAAAAAACATGAGTTGTTAAGTGAAAATACACTTTTCTGACAAACAGACGTAAGCAGCGAACTATGAATATTTTACTTATTTGCCGCAGTCTTGGATTCATCCTCCCTGACGGAAATGAAAGGGTGACCGTTTGTGAGACAAAACACTTTTATAGAAGGAATG